GTAGTTTCATGATTAAGTCCTGCTCTCATGAAAAACATTGTTAACTTTGCTTTCAACCTTCCTTCAGCTGGAATATTCTTTCCCCTTCTATTCAGCAACACACCCATCTACCAAGTCTCACCCAAACTGTACCTTCTGCAATTACAGACTTCTCTCACCACAGCCCTGATTACTCCCACCATAACCCCCATACTAAAAGGTCATATTAGACCCTCTTAATATTACTCTCATGGCATTTTGCACATATTATCACTAACTTGATTATCTCTTTGCATAATTATTATTTTGTGTTACATCTACCTGATGGCAGGGACAATGGTTCTTGTTGACATCAGCCTGGCACAGAGTAGGCAACTGTTCACATTTGTGAAGTGCTAGAAATATCTTCATTCTCAATGGATAAGCAAACCCTTATTAAACAATAAATCTGATCTTATGGGCTTTAATTTGTAGAGTTATTAGCCTTACTCCATAACAACAAAACATCATTGCAGTAAAGCAACCAAAAACAAAGAGAAATCAGTCCAAGATTTAAAATTAGAAAATAAAATCATTTTCTACAAGCATCTCTCCAAAAACACCTTTTCTGGTTTTAACACAGAATATCATGAAATTAAGAAATGCTTCCAAAATTCCCCACAGATTGGTCTTTAACACAGACACATATCAATCAAAAGCTTATCCTTTCTTTACTTTCCACAGACACCAAAGAACACGGCAGAAAGCCAACTTTTAGAAATAAACCCAAATAAAAGTAAATCTTCCAGTAAGATTCCTAAGCAATAAAACCGTAAATGCCATTCCCACTTATATCTAGTATAATGTCAAGCTTCAATCCACTTAACATCAAAATTAATCAGGTTTAATGTTTTTTCTAGAGTGACATCTAACAATCTAGGAACATACCATTTTAAGTAAACACACACAAAGCCCAAAGTTTATCCGTATAAAATCTTCATAAAGTACAAGTAGGAAAGAAAATCTCACATTGGTCTACAGAATAATTGTAAAGAAAATGCAGTTGATTACAACTAAACACAAAATGTCCAGTAATTCACTAGTTATAAACAGAAATAGTTTCAATTAGAAACTTAGAGTATCAAGAGAACCCTTCAGGAAGTTAAATGGAAATTACAAGAGTATTTTCCAAAAGCAGGCCATTTCTTCATGCAATTACTTGTTTCCATTTTATAGCTGTCTTACTTGTTTATCTATAACAAAACATTGCTCTGTCCTTCTCATAGTAATCAGAACAACAAAACAAAGCTAAAGAAAGAAAATGTGTCCCCCCAAACTTAAGATACTATTTTGAGGAAACACAATTAGAAATATTTTCAGGTACTGCATTCTAGGAACTTCTAATCACTGAACAGGATAAAATATATAAGTTCATATAAAATTAAAAGCACATTAAAAATTTTTGCTTTGATCTGTGGGACAAAGACTTCATAATTCATAGACATGCATATATTTTTAGTAATATTTGGGGATGTCAAGAATAGGGCTGGGTGCCTTTCTTTACTACTTGAAAAGTGAAACTTTCAATCATGTTCAGATTAATCAATTTTTAAAATACCTCATTTTAAATTTCCTCATTTCCAATGAGGAAAAATGCTTTTCACTGTAATGAATACTATATATTTATATTTATATATTTGGTATTTCTTAGGAGAAAAAAACACGTAACATATCTTGAGTGCATCTTTTAACTATAAATCAATTGAAATCCACTGCAATTACTATTACTACCACAGAAATAGTTTTATAGGATGACACATAGGAAGAGGGTTCTATGGTACAATTCACTTCTATACAAAATTCAACACAAAGAATATTTATTTTCTCAACATAGTGTCATGTATTGGTGAGGTACTGAAATGCAAAGAAAAAAAAATGAATTCATCCAAAAGAGGATTTACATAAATTTCAAGAGTAACGAAAGACCACTGGCTGGAGGTATCATAAAATTCATCCACTAATCAGGATCAACAGGGAAAATCAGAATAGCAGATAGTTTAGAAGAAATCAGTGGAAGTGTTGGTCAGAAAACATTACATTGTTGCTTTATATAGCGAATAAGGAAAATCATATAAAAAAGAAAAGCATTTATTAAAATAAAGACAAAAAGAAAATATTCTGTGCCACGGATGACAAATTTGGGGCTTGTGTGTTAATGCTTATCAGTGCCCTAACAGATGTGACTGATCAATCAATGGACTCTTTGTCACTGATCCTGGAATCTTTCTCAATACACAACACAGAAAGCCACTACCAATCACTGAAAATGGGCACTGAAATCTATTTGTCAAACCTGCTCTCAGTGATATTGTTTAAGATATTCAATCAGGAACCTTCCCCACAGGCAAATAGTACAGGAAAAGGTACAACCTTCTGGAATATGTGCTCAAGCAGGGGTTGATATTCAAAAATTTGTGAATGCATAAAAATTCTTAACAAGGAAAATGGAAAAATAACATTACAGCAAGGTAATGTTATGATTCGGTGAGTGGGGTAAGTTTTTAGAGGCTATCATCTACAACTTAGAATCGTTTCAATTCTGATGATACAGCATTTAAAAAAATACAGTCATCCATTTGCAAGAAAAGCAATCACTACAAAAGTAGCAAGAAATTGAAACAATTCCCTCAACCACTAGACAACAGAAATTAAAGACTGGTACTAGTAATTGACAATTAATTAAGTAGTTTCAATGCAGTTTATTCAGTGTAATTTAAAGCTAGAGAGAGTCTAATGATTTGAAAAATAAAATCTGAGACAAAATGAATAACTTCAGTAGAGAATCTGATGCCCGAAGTAGCTTTAACACCTGAGCAGCCAAAATTATAGATTTTCTATAAATGAAGAACAAAACCCTTCATTGTTACTTTTAACAAAAACTGTTTTCTTCTAATGAAATTAATAATAATGCAATTCTTGTCCAAAATCAAATACTTTTTAAAAATCCTTAAAAATCGGAGAAAGACAATTATCATATGGTTTCACACATATGCGGAATATAAGAAACAGTGCAGAGGACCATAAGGGAAAGGAGGGAAAACTGAATGGGAAGAAATCAGAGGAGACAAACCATGAGAGACTCTTGACTCTGGGAAACAAATTGAGGGTTGCTGAAGGGGAGGGGGGTGGGGGATGGGGCAATTGGGTGATGGGCATTAAGGAGGGCATGTGATGTGATGAGCACTGGGTGTTACACAGTGCTCACAACAAATGATGAATTGTTGAACACTACATCTGAAACTAATGATGTACTATGTGTTGGCTAACTGAATTTAAATTAAAGAAAAAAACCCTGAATTTTTTTAAAAAAAATAAAAATACCTTATTATAATGTGATTTGATCTCTAGTCATAAGAAAGTAAAACAAAAATACAAGGACAGTGGCTAAGTTTTAGTTTTCTTCATTTCCAGAAATACAGTATCTCAACTGAAAGGTATTTTAAAATACAGGTGACCATTGAGCTATATTGGAAACACAAGCCATAATTTCAGTTTTAGAATAGAATTGAAAATGTGGCAAAATTTTTTGGAAAAATTAAATAATCAGTTTGATAAAGGAGGCAGTTAGCCAGACATGAGCAGGTAACAGGTGTTTTCTGTCTGTTAAGAAGGGTGGAAACCAAGTTTCAAACAGCCAGGGGGCACATGCATGTACTCTTCCCTGTGAGTGCTGCCCTACAATAACCTATAGCTTCAAGAGAACACATTTGCATTGTGGTCTTGACTCCTCCCCCGCCCCCCCCCCCCCCGCCGACTCCCCTTGCAGGGGGATGGCTCTGTGACAGTTCAGATAAGGGCCATATAGGACCAAAACTCCCCCTCTCTATTGTAGGAGGAGACCTTAGATGATTGGAGGCAACCCTAGTCAGAGACCAGCCTAGCTATGGCCCATAACCCTTGCGAGCATAAAAAAGAAAGACCACCCTGGTCCCTGGTGCAATTGCTGTCTCTGGGCCTGCCCGCTCATCCACCTTGAGAGTGTGCTTTTGCTTTCATTACTATTAAACTCTTTTTTACTCTTTGGCTCTAAATTCTTTCTTGGCCCAACTCAAAAATGGAGGCGGGGGGTGGGGCAGATGGGACATATGAGATCAAATCAGTATTTATTTCAGGTGAAGGTACTTTTGTTCTGCTATATAATTACACATTATACAATTTTACCAGAAAGTTAAATCAAAACCTGCATAATGAAATACATCAGAGAAAAACAAACATCAATAACTGAACCAATTTAGATAAAGTCCATAATAGCTCAATCTGACAATGAACTCTGCCCCATGTTAAATAGTATTACCTGCTGTTTCCAGTGAATAAAAACTGCATCAATGCCCCCACTTCATTTTGCTTATGTACACTTAGCCATATTTAGGATCTTACATGAATTCAGCAAGACATCTTAAGTTGTACTGACATTTAGCAATAAAGAACATTTCCAGCTACAAGCAACTAAAACCACAATCTATAAAAGCATTACAACCAAGTCACTGCTCTTAAAGTAATTAGACAAGTTTTCTAAAATCTCCCTTGAAAGAACTATTATGCTAATATCTTCTACCCTTGGCCAATTCACTGTCATAAATTGTTTTACCATTATGCTCTTCCAAGACTTTTTAAGTAATTTCTTTGCAAATGAGAATAGGGAGATGAAACAATCCTATTTGGCTATAAGATTGTAGCTGATTATGTGACTAACTTGTGGTACATCTTATCAGTATGCCATTCATGATTATAATACAACAGATTTTAATCAGGAAGTAGCTCATTGTCTAATGAGGTGTACTTACGTCAGGTAACAGAAAACAAGTGTTTCTATAAACTATATAAACAACTATCAAAGAAGGCTTTCCCACAAAACACGAAAACCAACAAGAAAATATGTAAGTTTTATGAAAGAACTTCCTTGCTATATTGCAGCAAATATGTCACTTCTCTAGCATTCTGTTGATACAACTAGAAAAGGTTTAAAAAAATGTCCTCCTTACCTGTGTATACAGTTTTTACTCTCGAGATAGGACATACCAGAAGCAGCATCTAATGAAAATTTCACTAATTGTTTGAGCTTTATTTCATCCTTCTTCTTTCTCAGAAAGGACAGGAAATCACCTCCTAGAAGAATTGACAGACGAACAATGAAATATAATCAGGATGTACTTAGAGATACCTGACAAAACCGAAAGAATTACACATTCGGCCATGTTTCTGCCCATTTTGTTTGAGGTGAGGATAAAGCAAAAGATGAAAGAACACATCTACTAGAAAACAGATACCATAAACTTACCCAGATACAGTTTAAGTAATTTAAGTGCTTCACACTGTGTATTATCCAACACATGATAATACTCAAACAAAATCATACAATTCCTCTGTTGCAATTTCTCACCGATTTGCCTGGCTCAAATTTCCTGTGAAATTTTATTTTCTCTAATACCAAATAAAAGATTATAACTATTAGGAGTTTAAAATGTAAATGATATCAAATCAGTTATCAGATTCAGTGACTGCTTATGATAATTAAGTCACTGATGGTAGAGCCAGAGAGGGGGAGCTATGGTTTTGATAGGATTTAATTGCTGAGCCAGATTGCATTTTGGGCATCAAATGGATTTCAGTGATGTCTTAGAGCAACTCTTTAAATCAGCATGGTCCAAAAGAAATATAACACACAGTAACTTTCAATTTTCTAGTAGCCACATTTGGAAAAGTAACAACAACAAAAAGGCGAAATTCATTTTAATAATATATTTTTTCTTTAGCCCAATATATCCAAAATATATTATACCAATATGTATCATTACAAAATTATAGTGGAAATATTTTACATTTTATTATCCTAAGTCTTCAAAATATGTTGTTTATTTTACATTTTGTGGGACATCTCAAATATTTGATCTGTATTTAGATTTCATAAAATTTATAGTTGAAACAGAATATTCATATGCCTATGCTGTTTCAAACATGTTTAAAATTTCCTAGTAACTCAATCATATCCATTTTAAATTGAATAAAATTAAATGAAATTCACAATTCAGTTTTTTAGAAGCACTATTTCCAAAGCTGAAGAGCCATCTATCACCCGTCACGACCATATTAAAATACTGTCGACCTTCAACTGTGCATTCATTCTTCACATTGCATTAAAGGCTATATGAAGGCTTGATTATTCTTCCTTGTTAGTGTAGAGTGTAACTGTATTTTTTTAAAAAGTTAAATATATTAGAATGAATGTTCTCTCAAAACAATCATTCCCACTTTCTATTAGGCCCTCAGATTCTAAACCAGAATTTTCCAAGAGGGATTAGCATTTTAATTGCCATTTCCTGAATTTTGTAATCCTCTTCACCAGGGATCCAGGCTTCCTTAAATAGAACAACTCCAGAGGTGAAGACTTAATGGCTTTTTCTTTAATGAGAGTATCTGGAAAATAAACTCTTGCCTAACTCTACTTATAATGTTACCTTTCTCTAACTTCTCTTATTCACAAATCAGTGTTAGGCAAATTTAGGTGGGCCATTTACAAAATCAACAGCTATATGGTTAAAAATAATCTTAATGGTGTCAGATAATTTCTTTTTTCTGTTCTTTTAAAGAGAATATCAAATGTATTCAATTACTAGGAAGATTACTGAAACAGTCTCCATCAAGCTTAACTTAATTTTCTGAACAAAACACACCCAAGCAACAGTAAACAGCAAAATTAACCACTGATTTCGCTACTTTAATAGGTATACCAATTTAGTGGACTTGAAATCAATATTTAGTTCAAGTTATTACTTGGACCAATATTCATATATATTAATTCTTTGTTAGATATATGTTGGCTTATTTTAGAAAAAGTGCAGACTTCTGGTCTTGAAACCACATAGCATTTTGTTTAAGCTTTGGAATAGTTTTCAAATGAAAAGAGCTTTTCTGGAATTTGATTTAAAGCAGCCTATGACATAACCTCAGTGTTCTGTGAAATCCTAATATTTCTTTCCAAAGTTAGCTCGTATTCAGCACTTTTCCATCTGCCTCCTGTTCTTTTTTAAAATTTACTCCTTCAGTGAATCCTCCTTTACCCCTTAACCCCTGCCCCAAATGGTAAACCCTAAGAAGAGAATTGTGCCTAGGCTGCTCATTATTATAATTTCAGAGGCTACCACACTGTGTCTAGCATGTAATAATACCCCAATAAACATCTCTTGAATGAGTAAACAATGTGTAAGTATCTCTTCTTGCAGCTTCTAAGCTCCCCATGAAGACAAGAATCATTTTTCATTAATTTTTACATTTCTTCCCTAGTCCCTCTCCAATGGTGAGAACTTTGCTTTTCAAGTACTTGTCAAATGTTAAAACAGTGTTGAGAAAAGGATATTACATTTCTTATCAATGGCACCAGATGGATGCCATAAAATTCTTTAAATTCCATCAATAAAACTTAGCGCATTTAAGAGTAAGCTCATTTTGATAGATGCTTCTTAACACTAATGCCTTAAAAACTACATCTTTTAAAAAAAATGATTTGCAAAGAAGCAATCCCTGGTAGATAAAACTGTAAAACAACAAATGCACAATATAATAAAGAAAAGACAACACTTAAATAGCATTACAAATTGCCTGAAAAGTGAAGCCAGGTCAATAAAGGTAAAGCACTAGAAAGTAGAATGACATACAGTTATTTCCAAATACTGAGACGCAGCCAAAGATACAGACGAAGGATTGTCTGACTGCCTCTTAGTTAATCCAACAATATTTCTGCCTTAGAGAAATTTCTTGCTTAAAATCATTAAATTATTAAATTTTAAATTTATTTCCAACTCATAGGTAGTTATTCAAGACACAGACAGAATTATCTTAAGTAAAGGAGGAAAGCTGCATCATCCCACAGCCCTAGTCAGCTTCTTGCAGAACACTGCAGAGAAGCAAAGACTTCAATAAAAGTTAAATAATTGTGATTCAGTACTGAAAGCCTGAGCCTTGGGCAAGTGCAAGCAGTGAGAACCCGGAAGCAAGAAGTAAACTCCCCAGGAGACAGAGTATGAGACTAGAGGTAGGTTACCCAGGAAATAATTCAGACTGGGCCAGAAATGTTCCCCTAGGCACAATACTTGATTATTACCATTAAGTGAAGAACAATGGGAGAGTGACATCAGATGATAGAGTTTTTAGTATTCACTGTCAGTTATCGTAGAGGATAGTGTCTCTTCCTTTGAACTCATTCCCCTGCCACTTTTATTAAATGCCAAGTTAAAGAAACTCTCTTAGAATTTGTGATATACACAATAATCATATGTACAATACATACGTTTATATGTGTGCACATGTATGTATATGTGCATGTGCATATAGTATAGAGTGCCATACCTGACCACTGTCGTAAGGACTTTGGTGTTCAAAGTGGGCAAAACAAGGTATTAATTCCCGTTTTGTAAATCTGTCTTAACAAGGATTATTTCTATATAGGTACAGTGTACATTAAACCAAAACAGGATGGATTATTTTCTAGAATTCTTCACCAGTGATAGATTTCTAAGACAATACTTAATATGTTTTTATAGTCAATTTTTAGTTTACTAGGGAGACATCATGAAAAGAGCATGGATACTGAAGTCAGACTGACCTAGGTCCGATTACCTATGTGGCCTCGGGTAAGTTGTTTAAATTTTTTTTTTTTTTTTTTGGCATTTATTTATTTGAGAGAGAGAGAGAGCACAAATGGGGGTAGGGCAGAAAGAGAGGGAGAAGCAGATTCCCTGCTGAGCAGGGAGCCCATTGCGGGGCTCGATCCCAGGGCCCCGAGATCATGACCTGAGCTGAAGACAGACGTTTAACCGAATGAGCCACCCGGGCGCCCCTAATCTTTCTAAACTTTAAAACAAGGATTAATTCCATTTATTTCTCAAGATGGTTTTGAAGACTAAAATGTATCTAAAACACTAAGCCCCTGCCTAGACAGTCATACACACAATACTACTCCTCAAGCTATTTTGCATCTAAAGAAATAAAAAGTTATAGTAGGGACAGGTTGTTTGTCACATATCTATTTTCCCTTACTCGCCTCAAATTCCTGCCCTTCTCCCATTTTGGAAAGTATTCACCTCCCCCTCAACAAGAAAGGTGGCCCTAGATTGGTTTCACTCAATGAATGAAGCCCATTCCCCTGCCCAAGTGACTGGTTCAGGGATAGGCACATGGCTTAATTTGGGCCACTGAGATACAAGGAGATGCTTAAGAGGGGAAAGAAACTTTGGTTTTTTTTTTTTTTTTAAAGATTTTATTTATTTGACAGAGACACAGTGAGAGAGGGAACACAAGCAGGGGGAGTTGGAGAGGGAGAAGCAGGCTTCCTGCTGAGCAGGGAGCCTGATGTGGGGCTCGATCCCAGGACCCTGGGACCATGACCTGAGCCAAAGGCAGACGCTTAACGACTGAGCCACCCAGGTGCCCCAAGAAACTTTGGTTTTTGAGAGAAGCACCAGGAAAGAAGCATTCTCTGCCACTGGAAGTATACAAGATAGCACCATGAGGACTGGCAGACTAGGGGTGAAGCAATCATCATGGAAAGCAGAAAATACAGAAGGAAAGAAAATGGTTTCTGGCGATATGTTTGAGCCACTGGATCAAACACTGCCTGAACAGTGACTCCCTTCTAGATTCTTCAATTAAGTGAACTAATAAAACTTTTTTTTTTTAAGATATCTTTTGAGAGAGAGAGAGAGCATACCTATGACTGGGGGAGAGACTGGGGGAGAGGCAGAAAGAGGCTCAAGCAGATGTCCTGCTGAGTGTGGAGCCCACGTGGCGCTTGATCTCAAGACCCTGAGATCATGATCTGAGCTGAAACCAAGAGTCAGACACTTAACTGACTGAGCCACCCAGGCGCCCCAAATCTCTGTAATTTTTAATACATCTTCTGTACTAGCAACACAAAGGTTCCTAATGGATAGATATTTGTATCAGAAGATTATTTGAGAATTTTAAAAGGTAATATATATTAAATGTCTGGAACAAGTAGGAAACAATAAATAGAAGTGTTTATTATTGCTTGCAGCCAACTTTTAGTAGGAGGATAGAAGGCTGTTATTCTCAACAGTATTTTCTCAAAAGATTTCTTACTCTATGCTGTG